TTTTTCTCGTCGGCGCATCTTTTATTCTGTTCATTGCTTACAGGCTTCATGTGAAAATTCTTACGAAACATTTAGGCAATGAATGAAAAGAAAGGAGTGACAAATGATGTAAATATTTGTTGGAATTTACCAAAAATACAATAAGAGTGTATTATTAGGGTTGGAATAAAGCAGAATGCTAAAGCTGTTTTAAATCGTAAGGAATGCGCCTATAATAAACTAACGTATCTTAGTCGTTATTCAAATTAATTTCATAAATAGCTAACACTTTCGGATTAAGAATTGTAATACATTCGCAACAGCAATAAATTTAATTTCAAATTAAAAGTTTATTAAAGCAAATAGTTATCAATATATTATCTACTGAAAACAATGTTACATACGTTATTTCAGAAATCCGAACGATATTTCTTAAAGCGTCCATAAATTGCAATTGATTCTTATATACACAAGTGTCTTATTCGTGTTTGTTTCCTTTTAAATGTTTACTGTCAAACTCTCGATACCAAATACCCAAGTTCCAATCCATACAAATAACCTTTGTTTTAACTTTCTCTTTCTCTTTTACACTCATTATTTACAGAAAAGATAACGCGGAGGAAAAACTTCTGAAATTGATTAACAGTAATTTAAAAGTAATTTCTGAAATTTGTTACGTTGTTGACTATCTCCATTGTGGAAAATAAAAAAAAAGGTTTCGAACGAGAGGTAACTTTAATTTTTACCCTACTGTAAATCATATGAATAACATGTTCACATTCAAACAAGTGTGCTGAAATACACTCTAGTACACGTTCACAGATTCAGACTTAAGAGACATTCCTAATCAGAGTGCGAGCCCGCATTGGATCTTTAGCAAACATCAACATTTTGTTTTTATTTGATACAATTTGACTTTAAAATGGAAACATTTACTTGGAAATGAAATAAACTAGCACCTAAAACATTATCCAAGAAAGAGAACACAAACCCAATAGTTACTTCTTGACGGTATAAATAAATATGTACATAATATTTCTTTCAAGAAAATTGGCGTTAAATTCATTTACTCATACCCTAAATGTGTACCATTTCATCCCATGGACTGTATTAGGAATACAAATTTCATTATCTTCCTACCCAAATAATTACTGCTTTCGTACAAGCCAATACAGAAACAAATGAAAGTGTACGAAGGAAATCAATGCAAGAAAGCAATACAAAAAGTAACTTATATTATAAACCCGATCTTTCAGTGTTCTATTTCTATTTTGAGAGCTGAACGGTGACAAATTATAGACATTTTTCTCCATCTAGAAAGCCGTGTCGGAAAAGCGCAAGAAACGTTTTATAAGGAATATTTTCTAGTTTCTTTCAGAAAATTAATAATGCTTATATCATTGTATTCGCCTGTTCGAGTATCTTACAATCATAGTAGAAAAAATGTATTTTTGGTCAATATCTGGAAAATCAGAAAAGTTAGAAAATAGAAAACGACGAAAATATGTTATTTCCCTCAACAACTGCAACAACTTTGAGCAAACTGCATCCCAATACCTCGAACAATGTCAAAGATATTTGCTGTGGCGATCATAGGTGAGTTATGTGGCAATCCTAATAGTTATATTATTGCTCCATAGACCATGTTCTGGACCCAGTTCCTGATCGAAACCGTGGGAAATTGCCAGGTCAACTGAATATTTGATTTCGGTGACATTCTAAGGTCAACGGAATATTGATTCAAATGACATTGTGAGTTTTAGTGACGTCTTCTGGCCATGAGAAATAATTCGGCCTACAGAAATTCTGGTTCCAATGAGATTGTTCATTTCAAAGGAACATTTCTTTCTAGTCATGATTGACGTCAGAAATGTAATAAGAAGTAAGTTATAAAAGTGTGGAATCATCTTGCAAAGGTAGCATTCGGCCACGAGACATTGTTATTAACTCTCGATATCAAAATAATATTCATTTCGTCCTTCGTACATTGGAATCTTTGTAAACTTCAGTTATAAATAAATCTAGATTGTGGAATTCAATTTAATCGAAGTATCATTCATAAAAGCTGCTTCTATCCACTGGTATTGAACCTGTGGCACTGCACCTAACGGCAGGCTAATTAGCAAACCTCATAACTTCATATTCCATCCTCTACTTTCAGTTTGCTTCATGATAAAATATAATTATGAAAAAAGAGTAATAAATACAAGTAAAAAACAAATCGAGCATCTTAAATGATTAAGTTTCCCCGGTCAACAAAGAGGAGAACTAAAATTCTGCTTCCCGATTACGTTTATTCTTTTTATTGCAAAACTGTCCTATCAAGAGTTACGAGGCATGCTAATTAGTGTGACGCTATTTTCGACATCTGAGACTGAGAGAAGAGGAGAAACACAAAGGCGCGGTGCGCACGACGAGTAGGAATAAAGTTGAGTACTCACCGACCACCTCCAGGTGAATCATGTGGCTCATGTGCGGGTTGGTGCTGATCTGGCACTCGTACATGCCCGTGTCGCGGTGCTGCGGGTACTTGATCTGCAGCGTCCAGTCCTCGCTGTGCGGGTGGTGGATGGCGCGGAAGCGCTGGTCGCTGGTGTAGGTGTAGCGGCCCACCGTCAGCAGGTGGATGTCGCGATGGCGCACCCACGACACCTGGAACACCATCTGTAGAAACGTCAGCCCCTGCCGGGTCCTCGCACCAACGCACGCACGCACGCACGCACACACACACACACACACACACACGCACACACACACACACACACACACACTCTTTCTCCTCACACAGAATGCGATGACGACAACAATATAAGGAGAAATGACATAATCGATAAACATTTACATAAACTTGAAGTTTCTGCACAATTTTACTAAATATTTAACTTCAATGGAAAGTACAATGGGAGATAATGGGAGACAACATATCGAGAAAATGATGTGAAGTAAAGCATAAAAGTAGAAAAAAACACATTTATAAATATTGTATTTTCTTTTGAAATA